ATATCCCCCCTTATGTAATTATACATGGAATCAGATCATATCCCCCCTTATGTATTATACATGGAGATCATTATCCCCCCCCCTTATGTATTATACATGGAGATCATAATCCCCCCCTTATGTATTTTACATGGAGATCAAGATTCCCCCTTATGTATTATACATGGAACATATCCCCTTATGTATTAGTTTATAACATGGAGATCATATCCCCCTATATGTATTATACATGTAATCATAATCCCCCCTTATGTATTATACATGGGAATCATACCCCCCCCCCTTATGTATTATACATGAGATCATGCTCCCCCCTTATGTATTATACATGGAGATCATATCCCCCCTTATGTATTATACATGGAGATCATATCCCCCCTTATGTATTATACATGAGAGATCATATGCCCCCCTCCCCATATGGTATTAGTACATGGAGATCATATCCCCCCTTATGTATTATACATGGAGATCATATCCCCCCCATTAATGTAATAATACATGAGATCATATCCCCCTTTATGTATTATACATGGAGATCATATCCCCCTTATGTATTATTACATGAGATCATATCCCCCCTTTAAGTATTATACAGAGTATCAAGTCCCCCCTTAATGTATTATATCCAGTGCTTAAGTGGCAATATGAAGTGGACCAGAAACACAATTTGGAATGATCTACACTGTAGGTATGGACACTAACGTGGACTAATGCAATGACATAACATATACCCTGTGCTCAGAATCCCAATAACATTTACATATATGTAACCCATCAAGTGCTGAAAGGGTGGAACCGCCATGGGTACCACTACAATCTCTGGATGAACCCTCTGCAACTCGGACCTCTATAACCATTTCTAACAAACCTTGTAAACTCCCACTACAACTTAACACGTCTATCAGGCCCAATATTGTCTTCTATATCACTGTAGTAATTTACATTTACAATTACAATTTTTGCTGAGCTCAAAATGTTAATTGTGCTATGGCAACCTGAATGTACAGATACCCCCACCCCTATATGACATTTCTGCGCGTGTGATTGAGGCTCATTGAATATCTCATACCTTAGCTCTTAGTTACAGGTACAATTTTAGGCATCTCCTTTCATTTTGATGGGAATCTACATTCGAGAGGTTACATTATTCTTAAAGGATGCCCAGGACATGGCAACTTTCCTCAATATGACAACTAAGGGGCACCAGATTGAGTTATAATAGATGTACAGGACCCTCCCAGTCAGGAATACGTCTGGAAATCGAGCAGTGGATGGACCCACACAGCTTTTATTTCCAGAACAACAATCGACAGGAATCATGAAAGACAAATTCTTTTTTAAAAAACTTGGTATTCCATATTTTGATGAGCCAACCATCTCTTTATGACGTATATTGTATAAATAGAATGATGGCTGCTTTATTTTCCAGAGATTCACATAGTCTGTTGTGTCCCTTCATAAAAACTGAAGAACCTCTCCTAGAAGGAGGCCCTTTATCAGAACCTTCCTTGGTCCTTCTCATGCAGGGAAGACAGCCATCCTGAAACCTGCAGTTAAAGGAACAAATTACCAAGCAAGCAACTGCAAAATTCGTAACAGTCCTATCTCTGACTGTCTGAATAAGCTATTACGGCACAGCAGCAAAATAAGCAAGAACCATAACCTTTTATTTTTTGTGTTTTTTTTTAGTACTTGTGTGAGGAGGGAGCCCCACCTAATCAAGCAAAATATTAGATGCCATTTGTTTCTCTGCAGGAAACAACCCAGACCAGCTTCAATCTGGAGGAAAAACAGAAAGAGTTCTGCACATCAGTATCTAATAACAGTTCACTTGACCAGAACTTCAGTAATACTTACCAAGGACGGGGATGGTGGACTATGGAAGCCATTGCATCTCCAGGTGGCCACAGAATAGCTTCGGCTTGGCTGCCCTTCTTTCCAACCATGATCCACTCCTTCCTAATCTCCTGGAAGGGTGGCGCCGCCCCCCCTTCCTTCCCAGGCTCCTTCCAACATGAGGCCCTCTGAGATGCTTAGGAATGTGCCATTGTAGTCCCAGATCAAAATCCTCCTCCCATTGTGTCTGGGAATCTTCCAGTCAGATCCATAAATGTTCTGGGATGTAGGAATAGTCCAAGCCCCATTCTATGGCACTCTCCATTGTATTTCCTTTGCCTCCAGAAGAAGCGGGGCAGATGTCTATTGTCTCTTAAAACCCAGGTTATACTCAGGACTGTGGTGACCTAATGACCACTCCTGCACATCAGTGTCTCTAACCTTTTTCCTGGGCCAGGGTGAAGCAGAGGTGTTAGATAGTGGGTGTAGAATGAAATCCTAATGGGTTCCGACCAGCAGGATTGTCCAGCAGAAGTCTGTAGTGTATGGAAATTCCGATGATCCAGCTAAAATGTAGAGTCCCCCCAGTCCCACTCTTCATCTGTCTCCTCAGGGGAGTCCACCCATCTCCTGCTCTATTTCTAGAGGCCCAAACCCTCTGTAGGAGTCCTGGGCTATTCCCAGTCCTACCTCTCCTCCCTGAGTCATCACCACAAATAGGCTCCTTCCGACTGTAGAATGTCAGGGTGGGTAAATGAGGCTAGCTGTTCCACAGTGTTGGCCAATTCCTGCTGTGCAGAAATAGTGGATTCTGGCCTTCTGATATCTTTTTGCCAGGCAGGGAATGGCAGTATGCAACCCTTCTCCGGTAGGTGGGTCAGCAATGGTGGTGGGGAGTCGCGGTCCCAGGACTCAACGCTGCTTGGTGTAGCAGACTATAGACCAATTCCAGCTTTTTGAAAACAGAGTCCTGACTGTAGGTCCACGATATAGCTGCAAGATGCCAGATTGCTGGGCATCAATTAGATTGGCAGGATGCCCTCCATGTTTCTCCACTGACACACGGTTGGGCGTGAACTTGGGTGGGCTGGTAGGTGTGGCCCTGCCCTTCCTCATGATATTTGGCACTGGCCAGACTGCTGTGCTAGGATTATCCTGCCAAGAAATTAACCTGTGGGTGTGCCAACTTGAGCCAAACTTCTATCTCGGTAATGGCTGTATCCTACTAATAGGGCACTAACAGTTTGCTAGCTAGCGCTCAACATTGGTTTCCAGCCATCACTGAATAGCTGGGTTGCACATACACAGTAAAGGCTGAGCGCGATGCTGTCCCATAGTGGTTTCAATGGACGTTGGTGGGGTACAGAGCAGACCCCCTGCTGACTGCAAGGTCACAATATGAACTTCTAAATTCAGTCTTCACAAAGCAGTAAAGTATTCATAATCCATCATTCGTAGCAACGAGGCAGATTACTGTTTGAGCAGAATAACTTGTCGCCACAGCGGGTATATCGGACATTTCACAGAGTTCAGCAACACAAACAAGGCACAGTCTTCACTAGGAGCCACCTGGGGAGCAGCACAAAGACTATTGATAAACCCGATGTGGTTTATTGGGTTCCGTGAAACTTTCTCTTCAGGCTTTTTTGTTGCTAAGGGTGACAGCAGCAGGTTACTATAGGCAAACCCTGGACAAGCCCCCACATGTAGCACTACCCCCCTTAGGAGTTGCTGTTGAATTTGGGTCCCCCTATAGTCCTGCACGGCCAGTCAATCAGCATTTTTCACACACACGTTGACCCATGATCAAAAATCAGGCCTTGAGCATTGGTTTTGTTGTTTTATTGAGGGGAATAAACTTGAATTTGGGTAAGGGATGCATTGGATGCCCAATAGAACCAAAATCTGAGTAAAAAATTCCTGAACTATTTACAGCTTCTCTCTGATACACAGTCTCTGATGGAGTGCTAGCCAGCAACTCCAGTTTTAGCACTCCAGACCCCAGGTGAACTCCTCTTCACCCAGCAATCTGTAGGCTTTCCTTCCTAAGCAGGGGATCTGGCTCCTGTTCCTTTAATTAAGGAGCACGGTCACTAGAAGGGGGCTAATCTGGTTTCCCAACAGAGTGCTCCTTCCCCTATCTGCCCAGGGGGTGTAGGTGTACTCATTCAAATCCTCTCCTGCACAGCTTGTGGAATGGCTTCTGCTTCCAGGCATATCATCTGGGCAGCTCCTTCTTTGCCAAACAGGTGGTTCTTCTCTCAGGGGACCAGTGAGTCCAGGGGGTTTCCTCCTCTCTGACTACAGGCTCTCAGGCAGGCCCCATTCTAGCAGACCACCTGTCAGCCTTCTTCCTCCAACCTCACATCTTCCTGACTTCAACTCCTCCTCTCCTACCACCACTTTCCCCAACTCCTCCCACCACCACACTCTCCAACTCCTGCTACTGAGCAGACTCTAACACCTTTTAAGCAAGTCCAGTCTCTTGCCAAGCCTCCTGTTGGGCATTGGTTGAGGTCCCTCAAAGGTGCAACCAACCACTCCTCATATCCACCCACTGCCCTCAAGGCCCTCTTCCTCAGAGCAGGAGGAAATTCCAGAATGGCTGGCCTGCAGAGCCTCTCAGTCCTGACCAAATCTTGACCCCTCTGACTATCTCACATGAACTGCTAATCAGCTCCTCTCTAGACAGCGGGGATCTAGCTTCTCCCAGTGTAACTAGGAGGGTGCTACATAACTAATCGTATGACTACAGTACAAGTCACAGCCCAGCCTCACTCTGTGTAGGAGGATGTGACCCCTCCCAACTGCATTCTTTGCCGATGTTGGTGTCTTTTACTTATCACATCTCTCTTCTGCTGTTCACGATGGCATCTGCTGATCTGAGAGCTGAGCTGGTATGTTCAGTCTGTCTGAACATTTATACCGATCCTGTAATGCTGGTATGTGGACACAACTTCTGCCGGGTCTGTATTGATCGTGTGCTGAATACACAGAGGGGGTCTGGAGGATATTCCTGTCCTGATTGCAGAGAAAAGTTTAAGAAGCGGCCTGCACTGCACAGGAACATAACACTACGTAACATAGTGGAGAATTTCCTGTCTGCTCAACCTGATCAAGAGGAGTCCGGGGTCTTCTGTACTTACTGTGTGGACTCTCCTGTACCTGCTGTTAGATCCTGTCTACACTGTGAGGTTTCTCTGTGTGATAAACACCTGAGAGCCCACAAAATGTCCCCAGAACACATCTTAACTGACCCCACCTTGTCCATGGAGAGCAGGAAACACTCCGTCCATAAGAAGACCCAAGAGGATGAGACCCATATCTCTGCGTCCTGCAGTTTGGCTGGAGAACATCAAGAACACCACGTGGAGATGCTGGATGAGGTTTCTGAGAAAAAGGAGACACTGAGGAATGTTCTACAGAGACTTCTGACAAAGAGAGAGGAGATGGAGGAAAGAGTTCAGAGTCTGCAGGAACACAGGAGGAAAGCAGAAGAAAAAGCAGCTGGTGACACGGAGAGAGCCACTGCCCTGTTTAGGGATCTCAGGAGACGTCTGGAAGACCCGGAGAAGAGAATCCTATGGGAGATCTCCGGGAGGGCAGAGCGGGTCTCCATCTCTATGTTGGATAAGATTCGGGATCTGGAAATAAAGAAAGAGGAACTGTCCAGGAAGATGCGTGACATTGAGGAGCTGTGTAACATGACGGATCCACTGACTGTCCTACAGGAATCAGACACAGGTGACTTGTGTGATACTGAGGATGGAGATAATGAGGACAGAGAGAAACATGAGAAACTCTTCCATGATGGAGGGGGGCTGGATGTGGCTGGGATATCACACACATTGCACACAGGTTTATCTGAGTTAATAACAGGGATAGATGTGTACTTCTATATACAGGAAGCTGAGGACATATCACTGGATGTGAACACAGCTGGTTATTATCTACAGATATCAGATGATAGGAAAACGGCCTCCTTCTCAGATATGGACCAGAATCACCCAGTAAGACCAGAGAGATTTCAGGCTTGGCCTCAGGTGATGAGCAGTCAGAGTTTCTCCTCCGGGAGACATTACTTGGAATTGTACATCGGGGGATCAGATGATTGTAGACTTGGGATGTGCTACCCAAGCGTATACATAAGAGGACATCAGTCCCTGATTGGACAGAACAATAAGTCCTGGGGTGTGTACAGGAAAGGTGATGTGTATTGGGTGACACATGACAATAAATGGATCCATTTACCTGCCAATATCTCTGGTAACACAATTTTGATATATCTGGATTATGAGGCTGGGCAGATGTCCTTTTATGATCTGTGTGACCCGATCCGACACCTTCCACACCTTCACCACCACCTTCACTGAGCCCCTCCATGTTGTGATGGGCGTATGGAGAGGTTGTATAAAGGTATAAGGGGTGAATGAGGAGGTGAAAGATCTCCACCTAGAGACTGATGACATCACAGGAAAGGAGGGTCAGATCAGTTAAATATCCATCCAATTTCCTGGGGAGGAAGGCGGGGACTCCAGTCAGTGTCTCTTTTATTGTAGTTTGGGGTACAGTACAAATCAGGGTGCAGGTTTCCAGAAATAGGAGTCCGTGCTACAAACTCACGCTGATCTGCAGTATAATAGAGGAAATAAATGAGTACAATAGAACAGGTCAGGGTGTGCTGCGGGTGTGAGATGTTTATTGGTTTGCTGATGTACAAAGTCAAATTATTGTGTCCAGGTATCCCCCTCTCAGCAGGAGAGAACCCCCAGAAATGTGGGGGAGGGGAGATACTCCATGCTCTATGTGACCCCCCTGGAAATTTACAACAGAACATGGTTTTATTAATGTCCAATCTCAATCCAATCAGAGTTCATTGTGATGTCATTAAACCCCAAAAGAACTCTTCTGCTTAACCGCTTCCAGTCCGGACACTTTCCCCCCCTTCCAGTCCAGACACTTTCCCCCCCTTCCAGTCCGGACACTTTCCCCCCCTTCCAGTCCGGACACTTTCACCCCCTTCCAGTCCGGATGCTTTCCCCCCCTTCCAGTCCAGACACTTTCACCCCCTTCCAGTCCGGACACTTTCCCCCCCTTCCAGTCCAGACACTTTCACCCCCTTCCAGTCCAGACACTTTCACCCCCTTCCAGTCTGGACACTTTCTCCCCCTTCCAGTCCAGACACTTTCCCCCCCTTCCAGTCCAGACACTTTCACCCCCTTCCAGTCCGGACGCTTTTTTCCCCCCTTCCAGTCCACACTTTCCCCCCCTTCCAGTCCAGACACTTTCCCCCCCCTTCCAGTCCAGACACTTTCACCCCCTTCCAGTCCGCACACTTTCACCCCCTTCCAGTCCAGACATTTCCCCCCCTTCCAGTCCGGACACTTTCCCCCCCTTCCAGTCCAGACACTTTCACCCCCTTCCAGTCCGCACACTTTCACCCCCTTCCAGTCCGGACACTTTCCCCCCCTTCCAGTCCGGACACTTTCCCCCCCTTCCAGTCCAGACACTTTCCCCCCCTTCCAGTCCGGACACTTTCCCCCCCTTCCAGTCCAGACACTTTCACCCCCTTCCAGTCCGCACACTTTCACCCCCTACCAGTCCGGACACTTTCCCCCCCTTCCAGTCCGGACACTTTCCCCCCCCTTCCAGTCCGGACACTTTCACCCCCTTCCAGTCCGGACACTTTCACCCCCTACCAGTCCGGACACTTTCCCCCCCTTCCAGTCCGGACACTTTCCCCCCCTTCCAGTCCGGACACTTTCCCCCCCTTCCAGTCCGGACACTTTCCCCCCCTTCCAGTCCGGACACTTTCCCCCCCTTCCAGTCCGGACACTTTCCCCCCCTTCCAGTCCGGACACTTTCCCCCCCTTCCAGTCCGGACACTTTCCCCCCCTTCCAGTCCGGACACTTTCCCCCCCTTCCTGTCCAGGCCAATTTTCAGCTTTCAGCGCTATCACACTTTACATGACAATTGCGCGGTCATGCAACACTGTACCCATATGAATTTTGTACCATTTTTTTGAGACAGATAAAGCTTTATTTTTGTGGTATTTATTCACCACTGGGATCTTTATTTTTTGCTATATAAATGAAAAAGTCCAACAATTTTGAAAAAAAGTGTTTTTCTTATAAAATTTTGCAAATAAATACTATTTCTTCATAAATCTTGGCCAAAATGTATTCCGTTATCTTTTTAGTAAAAAAAAATAAATAAAATAACCCAAATTAGTTGATAACCAAAAATTATAATTTTTAAACATTTTTTTTTACATTTTAATTTTTTTTTTTTTTATATTTATTTATTTATTTTACATACTGTCACCCTAGCAGTATGGTGTCACCATGGTGACACTGTACTACTTGTGGGGGGTGATGAAGATTTTTTTTTTTTTTTTACACTGATTGCTTTTACACCCATAAAGGCTGTAAGAGGAATCATTTTTCCTTTTCCCTGGCTGCATCCTTGCAGCCATTGAGAACTACTGTGAGAGCTGTGATTGGTCACAGCTTGTCACATGATACAAGGCTGTTGTGAATAGCCCTGTACCCTGTGACCTCTGTGATCATTCACAGATTTCACATATAGTAAGCAATGATGTCAGAAGTGACATCTTGCTTACTACTCTGCATGTGATCACTGATTGGTTAATCAGTGATCACATGATTGGGACCTCACAGAGAGGTCCCATACGACAATCGGTGTTCCACTGTGTCCGGAGGACACAGCGGGCACCGGATCACGGTGCTGCACGCTCCCAGGGAGCACACACAAGCAGGGTGCGGGGAGGCCATTTATAAACAGCTGGATGGGAAGTGGTTAAAGAATATGTAAAGCCAACATTCCCTATCCTTGATCTCACTTTCCCTGATCTGTGCCTGCTGTCCCATGGACTTGTATGAAAAAGTCTTCCATTCTGTTTGTATAGTTTCCTTGGTGTGAAGTCCCTGGTAATCCTGTCAGCCCCTCTGATTTCCTATTAAAAACTGACCACACTAAGCATGAGAGCACAGTGTGGTCAGTTCTCTAGCTTTCCTGAGAACTCCAACGATCAGGCTGATAAATGCCCCCCTGGACATCCATTCTCTGGGAACACCAAGGTGCAACTGTTTTCTCCTCCCCCAGCTCTTATGCAGCTGAGAACGGAGGGTGTGTGATCACTTATAAAAAAGGGGGAAAAAGGAATTTATAATGTTCTTTTATATCCACTTGAAGACCAAGAATTTTCTGGCACTTTTTCTTTACAACTAAAAATCTATATTTTTTTTTACTAGAATATTACTTATAACCCCCAAATATTATAAATCTTTTTAGGCAGAGTCCCTAGAGAATAAAATGGCGGTTGGTGCAATTTTTTTATGTCACATGTTATGCACAGAGGTTTTTCAAAGGCAATTTTTTTTGGGAAAAAATATACACTTTAATAAATTAAAGTCTGAAAAAAAAACAAAACACAATATATACCGCAATTGTTTTGAAAATGTGAAAGATGATGTTATGCCGAGTAAACGTCACGCGCACCAGTGGAATGGTGAAAAACTGATACCTAACCCCTCGCCTACCAGGGACTGTCACCCCCTTCCTGCCCACCGGGCACTGTCACCCCCTTCCTGCTTACCGGGCACTGTCACCCCCTTCCAGTCCAGGCCAATTTTCAGCTTTCAGCGCTCTCACACTTTGAATGACAATTATGCGGTCATGCAACGCTGCACCCAAACTGAATTTTTATCATTTTCTTCACACAACTAGAACTTTATTTTGGTGGTATGTAATCACTGCTGGGGGTTTTATTTTTTGCTAAATTAACAAAAAAAAAAAATAAACATTTTGAAAATAAACACGTTTTTCTTTGTTTCTGTTATAACAGTTTGCAAATAAATAATTGTTCTTCATAAATTTAGGCCGAGATGTATTCTGCTCCATGTCTTTGGTGAAAATAACCCAAATCAGTGTTTATTGTTTACTCTGTAGGAGAGTTATAGAATTCACATCCAAAAATGTCAGAACAGTACAGATATCCCCCAAATGTCAGGACAGTACAGATATCCCCCAAATGTCAGGACAGTACAGATATCCCCCAAATGTCAGGACAGGACAGATATCCCCCAAATGTCAGGACGGTACAGATATCCCCCAAATGTCAGGACAGATAATACATTGTAACATGACAACATGGGGGACATTTCAGGGGGGAGGGGGAATACATTGTAACATGACAACATGGGGGACATTTCAGGGGGGAGGGGGAATACATTGTAACATCACAACATGGGGGACATTTCAGGGGGGAGGGGGAATACATTGTAACATGACAACATGGGGGACATTTCAGGGGGGAGGGGAATACATTGTAACATGACAACATGGGGGACATTTCAGGGGGAGGGGGGAATACATTGTAACATCACAACATGGGGGACATTTCAGGGGGGAGGGGGAATACATTGTAACATGACAACATGGGGGACATTTCAGGGGGGAGGGGGAATACATTGTAACATCACAACATGGGGGACATTTCAGGGGGAGGGGGGAATACATCGTAACATGACAACATGGGGGACATTTCAGGGGGGAGGGGAATACATTGTAACATGACAACATGGGGGACATTTCAGGGGGAGGGGGGAATACATTGTAACATCACAACATGGGGGACATTTCAGGGGGGAGGGGGAATACATTGTAACATGACAACATGGGGGACATTTCAGGGGGGAGGGGGAATACATTGTAACATGACAACATGGGGGACATTTCAGGGGGAGGGGGGAATACATTGTAACATGACAACATGGGGGACATTTCAGGGGGGAGGGGAATACATTGTAACATAACTACATGGAGGACATTTAAGGGGGGGAATACATTGTAACATGACAACATGGGGGACATTTCAGGGGGAGGGGGAATACATTGTAACATGACAACATGGGGGACATTTCAGGGGGGAGGGGAATACATTGTAACATGACAACATGGGGGACATTTCAGGGTGGAGGGGGAATACATTGTAACATGACAACATGGGGGACATTTCAGGGGGGAGGGGAATACATTGTAACATGACAACATGGGGGACATTTCAGGGGGAGGGGGAATACATTGTAACATGACAACATGGGGGACATTTCAGGGGGAGGGGGGAATACATTGTAACATGACAACATGGGGGACATTTCAGGGGGGAGGGGGAATACATTGTAACATGACAACATGGGGGACTTTTTTTCAGGTCCACCGATGATGCTCCTGTCTCCTCCTCTTCAGCCAGTGCCCCCTTAATAACAAGACACTTGGTCTTTATTATCGATTGGACCCGGGGCAAAGAAACAACCCAGACCAGCTCATCTGGAGGAAAAAAACACAAATAGTTCTGCATATCAGTATCTAATAACAGTCCTACTGGACCAGAACTTCAGTAATACTTCCAAGGACT